ACATACTCTACAGCTTCCTGACTTAATACAGTAACATAAGAGTCCCAAATTCAACAGAAGGCCAACACGGTGGTATTATATTGTCCCTATAATATTATGTTGTAACCCTACAACACTGAATCCATCTTGCAAACATCATTAACGTGAAAAATAGTCTGATAGCAGAATGATATCATTACCGAACAAAACTTATGAAGGCACAGTACAAAACCAATGTTTTAATATAACCCTAACTAGTTTGTCCCAGCAGACTTTGTAATATATTGCAGTCTTTTTACTGGATTTATTAAAAAAATATAGTTCACTTTTATTCTTCTGTGTGCTATATATTTATTTTCCATGACAGCATCTTGCAGAACTGCAGAAGAGCATGTCTCTTTTAATGCTATCAATATCACTTTCTGTCTAAAGACTTGAAGAACAGTTAATGGGCGAGACACATTGTTTGCTACAGTGTGGTGTTTTTCTTTTCCTGCTGTTGAATTGCTGGACAGATCATCATGGCCTTTAACCTCTCAATTCCCTTCAGAGGGCGCTAGCTATAATGTCAGCTTTAAAGCAAAACTAGCAACCGTACTTGAGAGAGCAGCACGAGGAAAGGAGGATCATAGGCAACAAAGCTGTCAACAAATAATAAAAACAAAAAACAAAAAAACCAGGACTTCCGCAAATGTTCAGCTCACAAACTTCCCAGGTCTGATGGGGAAAAGGGTCACCAGCCAGATATCAAGGAAGCAGAACAAACAAGTGTTAATCAGCTAATGTTTATCTACTGAATGTGAGAAATTATAAATTTGTTTATGCTGAAAAGTTTTGCACTTTAGTTAAACTGGCAAATTTATTTTAGGTACTTTTATGGCCCCCATCACCACTATATCTGAGCACCTCCCAGTCTTCAATAAACTTGTCTTCCCAACACCCTGGTAAGAAGTGAGATTATTCACATTTTATAGTTGGTAAAATGCCTAGGGAAACATCCCCTTCTCTCCTGGTAGATGCTGGTACTACAGTGCTTCATTTCAGTCTGGACAGAAAAATAAACTATACTGGTAAAACTGTGTGTGCACTGAGGCTTTTAGGGTACGTCTAGACTACTGCGTTTTGTCGACTGAAGTTTTGTCGACAAAGAGCGTCCAGACACATTGAGTTCTGTCGACAAAGCAAGCTGCTTTGTCGACAGAACTCCGTAGTCTGGACGCAATGTTACAGGCAATAACACCTTCTGTCGACAGAGTTCTGTCGACAGAAGGCGTTATGCCTCGTAAAATGAGGTATACCAGCGTCGACAAAACTGCTGAGTTCTGTCGACGTTATGTCGACAGAACTCAGTGGTAGTGTAGACGCTGGTATAGTTTTGTCGACAAAAGTCCACTTTTGTCGACAAAACTAGGTAGTCTAGACACACCCTTACTGCCATAACTATATCAGGGGGAAAAAATCTCACTCCTAACCCCTAAAGTTTTATGGGCAGACCCCACCTAATATACCACTTTTATGGCACTTCTTATCCACCATATACTTTACAAACATCAAATCATTAATCCACACAATACCTATGATCCGAGGGGCCAAAAGACTTGCTGGGCCTCTAGGCAAAGTGGAAGGAGTACAGGTCTGTGCTCCCAGAAGGGCCGGGAGGAGTGGGTCTGGGGGCCTGGCAGCCAGCCCTCAGTGCTACCTGGAGCATCCCATACTTGCCCCTGCATTCCTCTAGCCAGTCCTCAGAGCCACCTGGAGCACACTTTCCGACACTCCGGCAGCAATTTAAAAAGCCCAGAGCTTTGGCTGTCACTGCAGTAGTGGTGGTGATGGCCGGAAGCCCCAGGCCCTTTTGAATTGATGAGTCCAAGGACAGTTGCCCTCTTTGCCTCCCCCATCAGTGGGCCTGTCTATGGGAGACAGAAAAGTATCTTATAAACAGAGTAATTGAGGGGAAGAGGTTATATTGGTTGCCCCTGGCCATAAAAGGAATCTTTACCAGAGGATAAATTAGAACTTTGGCAATCTTTATTTGCAGTACTGTGCCAAAGTCTCCCTATGTTTATGACCTTACAGTAAAAAAGGGGACTGATAAAATTTTAGGGTGATACCCAGCACACTGTATTTCACTGAGTATAAGCAGACTGGTTTATTAGGAGCCCCATCGAGTCATCTTAAGAAATCCACCTTGTACGGATTGTGGTTTCCTTTAAGAAATCAGTAACAAGGAATTTCTTCTGGCAGCAATCAAGCCCTGTTAGACATATGTTGTGACGGCTCAATCCTCCAACCTGACACTCTGCGTGCAGAGATGGGGGGCTGACTAGCAGAATAAACTCTGTAAAACCCGTCTCTGGAACTCCCAGAAACAAGCTTATCTGGTCTCAGTCTCCCTGAGATCCAAGAAATAAAGATAAATACAAATTTGCTGCCACCACCCAAGTGTACTTAAAAAGATATAAAATAAACCCTTTTCCAGGGAAGGGATCACTTGGGAATACCCTCCCTAAGGCAAAGCTCCTAAGGCAAAGGCTGTTCCTTTGGGATTGGAAGTACGTCTTTGGATTTGATGAGATTGGTTTTCATAACCTCTCATTTGTGTAAGGTGTGGTACTGATTGTTGAACAGGAGAAGTTGGAGTGTCTAAGGGATTGCTTGTTTGACTTCTTCCTGGCCAGTGCAGCAAAGAGAAGTGCTCTTTGTGACTGGTTTGTGTGCCTTATAGAGGAGAAATCCCCAATCTTGGGCTGTAAATAGCACGGTTTCTATGCAACTCACCCTGATTTGACATCTCCATGGTGCCCCCAGATCCTGTTAAATGACATATATGAAGCAAGCTGAACTTAAAATATAAACCAATACAGGTGACTTTAAATCTTATTAATATATAGAATCTGCTTGGCCTACATAAGTTTGTGCTTAGGTTTATGTGGCCCGCCTGTGTAATAAAGCTTGACGTAGCACCATTGATTTAGACCATAAACTCACAGGGGCAGAGACTGTTTCACAATATGTTTTTGCATGGCTTAGCACAATGTATGATCATAAAGGAAAAGCACTCTAATCTGCACCCAAAAGTCATCTTCAGGATGAATGTGTTGCCTACAAAAAGGGAGACCATACTTAGACTTTCTGAAAATGTATTAATTAACACGCCAGATCCTTAGCTGGTATAAACTGGCATGGCCCAACTGATTTTAATGGAATGACTCTGTACACATGGGCTGAAGATTTGCCTCACAGGCTACTTCATTTAAATGGGTCTCAAAACTCTCCCCCCATTCAAATCTGTCCCTGTGTTCCATGGTAATAAATCACCATTTCCTCGCAGTAAGTAATTATATTGTCTGAATGTCTATTAACTATCTGCTGAAAATTTACTTCCGAAGTCATAATTATTTGCTAGGAAGCCACTACCTCCATCTACTGGGACACTAAATTTATATCTGCTGGCACGTAGGCAAAAACTGTCGTTCCAGCCATAGAAATCTCCCACAAAGAGTTGCCAGCTCAATTATCATTGTATCACTGTCTTCATCAGTGGATGTGGTCAAATGGTTCTGACTTCACCGCTACACACATCTCCTACCCACATGCAGTTGCCTCCCTGCCCCCAAATTCCCAGGCTATAAGGTTTTCTGTTCAATTTTTAGAAAAGCACACAATATCTTTCATAGGTATGCCTACAGCAGCATAGTACTGCTGCTCCTTCAAGTTGTTAGAGCCAGAAGCAATCCAGGTTATTACTCCTTCACATCGTCTCCCAGATGCAGGTAGCAGCAGCAGCAACCAGGACATGTGAAATTGCTCTGATCTAACCGGAGCATCTCTGATTCATAATACTTGTACACCACCATATCCCTTTAATTGAGGAGTTTAATTTAGATCTCTGCAATATATTGGGAGCCTTCAGTGCTGTCAGCTGTACATTATTTGAAATGTAATGATGGCATACTGGAGGAGAGCTTGAAATAACAGCTGAGGAGACAGACTTTACGGAAAGTACAATTGTCTATATTATTCTTAACCATGATTATTATGGTAGAACCTAGGGACCAACCAAGAATGGGCTTCAATTGTGGTAGGCCCTGTCCAGACACAGAGCAGAACAGAGTTCCTGCCCCAGAGAGCTTACAATCTAAACTGATAACACAAACACAAGGCAGGGGGAAAACACTGTAGCCTACAAAATCAGATCTACTAAAACCAGTCAGCGAAGGCACCTGCTGAAGCTCACACATCCTCAAGAAAGATCAATTCTTTCTTTTTTCCTCTCCTTCTTTGTTCTTTAAGCAGCTCTTTGGTCCTGGGGAGAGGTAGTGAGTAAGAAGCCCACCCCACGTCACATCGATGAATCAGAGTAAGTGAATATAGAACACATTCCTCTACAAAAAACTAATGAGCTGGCTTCCTGCTAAGACAGAAAATGCAAAGCTGGAAAAAGTCAGCAATCAGACACCAATGACAACCGTCACCTCAGTAAACAGCTGTCACAGCGAGCGGCAAATTAGAATTCTCCTCTGCATGGAATCCAGGCTGACACCTGTGGTCTGGAGAACATTGACAGAATAGCGGAAGAGCCAGGGAGAACATGAAAGTAACCTGTAATCTCAATGTGCCAAAAGTGCTAATTAACCTGGCAGCCAACCAAACCACTGGTATTAAAATCCCCTTATCTAGAGAGTGCACATTTCAGCATTTCTGCAGCCACCATTACACTTGGCACAGAGGCAGCAGGCTATTGTAGAAAGCATACAGACAGAGGCACATTGCTAATAATTAGCTGACAATCTGAACACCTGTTATTACTAAAAAAAAGTGTTATCTAAAGAAATATACATCTGAAAAAGTCAGCAGTAGCACTGATAAAGAAATAAAAGCCATTTTTGAAAAATAAATGTCAATGACTTCTAGTGAAAAAGCTTCATAATCAAAAGGTGATCACTGTATTCAAAACTCCAGAGAGTAACATTTCAAATGAAGATATTTGTGCCTAAAAAGGAAAGTTTGTTTCTACATACCTGTCCAGTCGCCCACTATTTTAAGATGGACTCCAAATGTTGCTTTGGTATCTGTAGGACACTGAAAAAATTAAATACGTTAAGGAACATTTCTGAAAAATAATGAAATAAACTGAGATTTAAGTACAATTTTTAGATGAAATTTTGCCATTCATGTGGTTCTAGAAACACATCCACCGTGACCAATGAGGGTTTCCTGTACTGACTTTCATGCTGACAAGAACCAATAGAGAAAGTAACAGACAAGAGATTCTTATTTTTCTAGCTTTTGAAATGTGTGTGGATCCTGAAAAAATGAGGAAGAACGGCTCTTGAGCAAGAAGAGGGTTTTGCGCAAAAAGGAGCTGCCTACACTCCTCTTGCGCAAACAAGGGCCCTTAATTATGCACATGAAGCATGGCCATATGCTAATCCATGCTTCATTTGCATAAGCTTTTGCACAAGAGAGGTGCAGTATAGACGTAGCCTGAGTGTATGGACTTGGCAAAGTCACAAATTTTCTAGAGAAGAAGGATTACCCAGCAATTAGAGAACTAGCTAGCATAGGTCTTAGGAGACCTGTGTCTAAGTCCATGCTCCACTAAACATTTACAGTGTGGCTCTGAAATCAGTGGACGTTAGAAGCCTAATTAGCTTACTTCCTATGCCTTCCGTTCCCCACATTTAGGGTTATAGTGCTGTCCTACCTCACAGGGGTGTTTTATGGATGAGTACATTGCATACAGCATGATGCTCAGACACTATACTATTGGGAGTACTTGAATTCTATACCTCTCTTGCTCCTTCTACAGAATGGGGATAGTAACCTTCTAGATATGAATTAATTTTTAATATCTGTGAAACATTTTAGAGATGAAAAACACCATTAGAGCTGGGAGAGTCTTTCAAATGGAAGTACAGAAGACTATCTGGTTCAAGTTTAATTCATTTGAGGACTTAAGGGGGTTGTTTGGGTTTTTTTTAACTGATCCCATATTCCAGCCATAGTTTTATTAAGGTTTATGATCTTGAGATAATGTGGGGGTATCAGAGGGAAAGCATGCAAAACAGAACAGCTCCTTATGTTTCCTCCCCATGCAAAGCAAAATCACGTATTCTTACAAAGTGCAACTGTGGAGTTCTGAGTAGCAGTTTCACCTTCTATTCTATCCAGTCCTGTTCACAATATTCTATAGTGCTGACCATCATGAAACCTAAACCCCTTTGTAATAAAGAGACCTTGCTCAGACAACAAAGATCCAAAAAGATCCCTTAACAGAATTACACAGTTTAAAAATGAGTTATATATTAGTATATAAGAACATAAGAATGACCATACTGGGTCAGACCAAAGGTCCATCCAGCCCAGTATCCTGTCTGCTGACAGTGGCCAATGCCAGGTGTCCCAGAGGGAGTGAATCAAACAAGTAATGATCAAGTGATCTCTCTCCTGCCATCCATCTCTACCCTCTGACAAACAGAAGCTAGGGACACCATTCCTTACCCATACTGGCTAATAGCCATTTATGGACTTAACCTCCATGAATTTATCTAGTTCTCTTTTAAACACTGTTATAGTCCTAGCCTTCACAACCTCCTCAGGCAAGAAGTTCCACAGATTGAGAATGCGCTGTGTGAAGAAGAACTTCCTGTTATTTGTTTTAAACCTGCTGCCCATTAGTTTCATTTGGCGGGCCTTAGTTCTTATATTATAGGAACAAGTAAATAACTTTTCCTTATTCACTTTCTCCACACCACTCATGATTTTATAAACCCCTATCATATCCCCCCCTTATTCTCCTCTTTTCCAAGCTGAAAAGTCCCAGTTTCTTTAATCTCTTCTCATATGGGACCTATTCCAAACCTCTAATCATTTTAGATGCCCTTCTCTGAACCTTTTCTAATGCCAGTATATCTTTTTTGAGATGAGGAGACTACATCTGTATGCAGTATTCAAGATGTGGGCGTACCATGGATTTATATAAGGGCAATAAGATATTCTCTGTCTTATTCTCTATCCCTTTTTTAATGGTTCCTAACATCCTGTTTACTTTTTTGACCACTACTGCACACTGCGTGGACATCTTCAGAGAACTATCCACAATGACTCCAAGATCTCTTTCCTGAATAGTTTGTAGCTAAATTAGCCCCCATCATATTTATATATATAGTTGGGGTTATTTTTTCTAATGTGCATTACTTTACATTTATCCACATTACATTTCATTTGCCATTTTGTTGCCCAGTCACTTAATTTGGTGAGATCTTTTTGAAGTTCTTCACAGTCTGCTATGTTGTTAGCTATGTTCACACTCATAGTGCTGGAATGCAGGCGGAAGCATTCAAACAAGCACTCACCTACTTGCCATTCAAGGGTGTGTTTGCCTGCCAATACTGGCCAGAAAACCTATGGACTGCAATCAGTAACACAGAATAATGGGGCCATTTCATCCATGCAAAGGTAAAGTTTGTAGTTCCTCACCTAGTCTACCCCTACTGAAGCTTTCCTGAAGCACCAATCCAGCAGCTGCCCCAGTTTGAGAGCAGGTCTCCAGTACAAAATCTATGCACAACTTCACTCTTGAGGCGGGTTTCATGCTGGATCTTTGCTCTGCAGGGAAATTTCTCTAACCAGGTAGATGGAGTGATTTGCTCAATCCAGATGTCTGGGAATCTAGTTCAGCACGTTGTCTGCAAGACAAGTTTGTGCCTGGCACCACAGCACAACTGCCAAGGAATCCAAAGCCCAGTGCCCACGGAGGTGTCAACCGCCTGCCCACAGCTCAGCCATCACAGAGAATGGATTTATAGAGGAATGAAGAAGTGCCCAACCAGATTTTGAAAAGTATTTTTAAAAGCAAACATTGAAGAAAGATACATTTTCGCTTTTAACGGAGGGGCCACAGACAAGAAGCAACTCCTCAACACTGCCCCATCACTGTCAATGCCCATCAAATTTTAAAAAAAGACTCTCTCCTTCATCTCCTGCTAAAACCTTTCCCTCCATTTGTGTTAATGCCAAAACTCCCCTTGGCTCAGGTGGGTGCAGGTTCAAATCCACTGTCCTTTACATGACTTGTGTAAATAAGTCCCTTCTGCACTACTCTAAACAATAATCCTGTAATATCAGGGTTTATTTCTTCTCACCGTTTAAGAAGTATATTCTGACACCACAGGCCTAAGGGTCCCTTGGAGGGTTCTAGAAAATCGTATGGCGCTATTAAATCTTTATAGAGAAAACAGACTCGTCATCATATAGTTTTTAAAGCCCTGGTCATATTTTTCTTCTATAAATAGTAGATTCACATGTTCAGTTCCTCTGAAATCAGCTAAACTTAAGAACTGTGGCATTTCCCAGAAAATTAGTACTTGGGTGGACATTAGAGACTGATGTACATCATAAGTATGCTCTTCACAGAACAAGACTCACCAACACCAAACAGCACTACCCTCTGTCAGAACAGACACAAAGCCTGCAGACATATCTCTACTCCACTTACAATGATCAATAGCTCCCAGAGCAACCCACTTTTCCAGGTCAAGGGGTCCTACACATGCTTACCGCAACATGTGGTTAGCTCATTCAGGACATCAACTGCCCCCAATAGCAACTAGGTGGATGAAACCAGACAATCACTATACTCTCAAGTGAGAACTCAGACACAAACATGATAAAAGACAAAAATACCACATCACTCAATTGCGAAGGTTTTTTTTTATAAAACAATCATTCCATATCCAACTCCTGAGAGTATGTCTAGACAGGGATAAAAACAAAAACCTTGCAGCTTGCCCAAGTCTCAGGTTCCCAGGATGAAAAACTGCCATGTGGGCATATGGCCTAAGGCTGGAGCCCAGCATCTACATAGCAATTTCTAGCCCCAAGCACAAGTCAGCTGACCCAAGCCAACTGCAGCCATCCTGTCATTCAAAGGGTAGGCATGAAAACATGCAAGTCTTGGCATGTCTAAAGAACACATGCCAGTTTCAGGTCTCTGCACACAACTGCACTAAATGAACACATGCCCAAAAATCTAAAATGTAAACCTATACTCCAAACCAGAGTACCACTAATCCCTGACTCAGGAAAACAAGTCTATTCTGGACAACACTGAAGCATATGCTTAAGTTTACACGTGATTAAGTTGCACTGAAATTAAAGGAACTTAAGAACATTCCTAAAGTTAAGCACAAATTTAAGTGCTTTCCTAAACTGGGACTAAGAGTATGTGCATGACCTTCAGACAAATTAAGGGTGTGTCTAGACTATAGGGTTTTGTCAACAAAAGTTGGCTTTTGTTGACAAAACTATACCTGCGTCTACACTACCGCGGCGTTCTGTTAACAGTAAGTCGACAGAATGCGGCAGTTTTGTCGACAGTGGTAAACCTAATTTCACGAGGAATAACTCCTTTTTTCGAAAGTACTCTTTTGAAAAAAGGAACTATTGCATGGAAGGAGAGAATCTAGACTCTCTTTTGAAAAAGCAGCTTGCTTTTTCGACAATACTGATCGTAGTCTAGACACTCTTTTTCAACAGAGGCTTTGTCGACAGTATCTGTAGACAAAGCCTGTCGAAAAAGGCATGAAGTCTAGACGTAGCCTAAGAGTATGTGAGTGACGTGAGGAATACATGGTGTGCTCTTTGAAGCTCTGATCAAAGACAATAAAATTTCTTCTCCAAGAAACGTAGAAGACAGTGACTACAAGACTTGTTAGGTTTATCCACTTCTAGGACATACATGCTGTTTTAAGAACAGCATTTCAGTCTTTCTACAGGCAGTCCCCGACTTACGCGGATCCGACTTACGTCGGATCCGCACTTACGAACGGGGCTTTCTCGCCCCGAAGGTCGGGGCGAGAAAGCCCCGTTCGTAAGTGCGGATCCGACGTAAGTCGGATCCGCGTAAGTCGGGGACTGCCTGTAGAAAGACTGAAATGCTGTTCTTAAAACAGCATGTATGTCCTAGAAGTGGATAAACCTAACAAGTCTTGTAGTCACTGTCTTCTACGTTTCTTGGAGAAGAAATTTTATTGTCTTTGATCAGAGCTTCAAAGAGCACACCATGTATTCCTCACGTC